GTCTCCACGCGCTTCCGACTACGCACCTCTGGTGATACGGAGGCAGCTGCGGCGGGAGGTGCAGGGGTTGGTATCGCGCTAAGTCACCGGGCGGAAGTGTCCTTACTTGACTGGATACCTGTTGATAGTCGCCTCTGTGCGGTTCATCTAGCAAAGTCTGTGAAGGAGTCTCACAAGCGGAAAGTTGATGGATGTCTGTTTATCGTGTCTGTCTACGCCCCAACTGACTGTAGCTCCGACGCCGTCAAAGACAGCTTTTACGACGCCCTGAATGCCCTGCTGCGGAGAGCTAAAAGCTCAGACATCGTGATGGTTGCCGGAGACATGAGTGCATAAGTGGGCAGGCTTAGTGTATCTGAGACTCAATCAGTAGGTCGACATGGATTGGACTCATTACGTACGGACAGTGGGGAACGATTACTTCAGCTGCGTGCTAATCGCAGGCTATTTTTATGCAGTACTAACTTTCGAAATAGCCGAAGTCGTCTGGCCACTTGGTGCCCTCCTACAACAGGTCGGCCACAAACTCAAATCGACCACGTTGCCATCAGTTACCGATGGCGCGGGTCCATTACTGACTGCCGGTCGTTTTGGAACACATTTGTGGACTCTGACCACGCGCTCGTCCGGAGTCGCTTCTCCCTACGTTTCCCGGGGTCGCGTAAGGTGCGGACAAATCGCATGGCAACTGAAAGACTGGCAGATCCGGATGTCAGACGAACTTACAAGAATCGTCTTCTAGAGTCTCTTCCAAGTGCTCCACCATCAGATGTGAACTCATACTGGGACGAGATTGCTACCTCTTTGCATAGTGCTGGGAATTTTGCCTGTGGCACGACCCATCCAGGCGCCCTGAAGCACTGGATATCAGACCGAATGGTGGCCCTACTTAAATCTCGAAGAAATATCCCAACCGGTCCCGAACATAACCCGATGCGAAGAGCCATCAGACGTCAAGTGAAAGTGAGTTTGCGATGCGAACGTGAAGTATGATGGACACAGAAAGCCAAAGAAATGGAAGGGGCCCAGAAAGCAGGTAATGCCAGGAGACTATTTTAGTTGATCCGTGCGACCGGTCCCCGGAAACCACCTGTGAGTGAAAGCATCAAGCATCAGGATGGAACGACCATCTCGAATAAGGAGGAACGCCTTGACCGGTGGGCTGAATACTTTGAACAACAAATGTCTGGACCACCAGCCGGCACTCATCTATGGCTCACAGGTGAAGTAGAACCTTGGACGGTGAGCATTGAACCACCTACGGCCTCGGAGTTTACGACTAACATATGTTCCCTCAAGCGCCACCGAGCTCCCGGTCCGGATAACCTTCCACCCGCACTGTTGCGTATGCCGAACCACCGTCTGCCGAAGAGAGTGATGTTTTCCATGCCCAATTCAGAGTGGCGTAAACAGAGAGGTGGCCAACCCTTGACTTGGCAGAGGAGTATGAAGGAGATCACGAAACGCTTGGGTGCTGTCAGTGCTACTCGCCGGATGGGATGGGAACCGCGTGATCCTCACTGTGCCCGGTTGTAGACACTACAGGATATGACTGTCAACCGATGTCAGTGGCCTTCTTCAGTTTCTACTCATAATGATTGTGGTAAACTAGCACTAAGTCTCTTCCCCATCCACCTTCATTCTTTTCTTCACAATAAGGCTTTCAAATAAGTCATGGTTGTACGGCAGTGAAGCATCGGTGTTGGACACTGATGTCGTGCTGTCGATGATGATGATGATGATGATGATGATGATGATGATGATGATGATGATGATCTAAACTGTGTACTCAAATTTGCAGCTTCGTGGCTGCACGGAAAAAGCATCCTTCCAATTATGAACAGTCCGGATGTGAGAAACATCCTCTATTATTTCCTGATGAGTGGAGCTTAATCTCCTAAGCATTGTTAACAAATCACCAGAAAATCACAAGCACTGAAAGTGAGTTACCCCGTTATTAGACAGATTCAAATGAATTCAAAAAGAATATACCAGCGGTCCCCGCCATAGTGAACAAGGTTCAATGGAATCTCGGGTGACGGTGCATTACATACAACGTGGAACCTTCCCCTAAACAGTCAAGAAGTCATTGCTATGGTCGGTGTATTTTTTGTGGATTAACATTAGCAAAACAGGACTTTCGCGTTTGACTCCCATTGCTTTCATGCCTTCATAATATGGTTGCAAAACTCCGGGTAGTCTGGTTTATGTTGAAGGACGAAATCTTTATTCCATCTCCGATCCCTTCACATTACTAACAGTCTGTGAGTAGCTTAAAGGAAGTATAATTTCAAACGAGAAGTTGTCACTCCGGGAACCAGTCAACACTGGTGACTACATTATGCGAATCCTGTGATTGGAGGATGAATGGCCGCTTGTGACCGAGTGGTCACGCGTTCAAACTATCGGACTGGAGGTCGTATGTTCCTGACCCTCTTGAGTTTAACGAGATGCGCACTTCTGATGATGCCCAAGAAGGATGAAACAGCTGTGCATTGCTTCCCGGCTTTTCAGCATAGTTTACCTTCACTGAGGAAACCTTAATTGGAATAGTTTGATTTTTGTTATCATTGTTTAAAAGCAGGCCAGTCTCAGAAACAAGCAGAGTTAAGTCCTCAAAAACCAATAAATTAAACTTCTTGAGAACATAATAACGCAAAATGAGACAATCATAAGAACAGCGTCACACGTAACGGATACGGACCATAAATTCGAGTGACGGTTCCCGGCTACTGATGAATCCACTGAGGTGCTGAGTACTTTGTAGCTTCTGACTATGATCCACCGGTCCGCTACCCAGTGTTACACATTTGTCGATCTGGCATGCATCCAGGTTCTACACGGAACGGAAACTAGAAATTACATACAGAGAAGACGGAAAATGCCCAAAACTACGGATTACCATGGGATTGTTCTGAGTGTATAGCAGTTTATTGAATAAATTATCAGCCTGATCCGTAGATAGTGGTAGGATATGCACAAGGACGGTTCCACCTAGCCCAGGTCCTCAAAACAATCGTACCGCACGCCATTAAAATGGTGGGCTGGCCTAGAACAGAATAAATTTGCGGATTTCTTCATCCGTTTGTCTATGCATGGTGCTTGGGTACATAGAGTTGCAGCTGACTTAGCGGGATCCGTGGTTTGATTTGTTTTGTCATCTGCCTGAATTCTTTCTCTTTGTTTGAGGGCTATTGATCTGAATACTGAAATATCGATCAACCAAGGGTCAGCTGACTCGCGGAGGTTCACGATTAGCTAGTCCAGTTCAGTGACAGAACACATCAATCAGAATTTCAAAGAGGCATCTAAATGCATACGAATGACTGACCAACAGTTGCCTATTCTGCTTCCCGATCAGTTCACTCTGATGAAATACTTATTGATTTTTAGCTAACACACGCTAAACAGTTTGGTTCAAACTGAAGTTTATAATTTCATGCCTTGTTGATTCGCTCACTGAAATGCACGGATTCAAAATTACCATGTGAATGCTCTTAATCAAACAGTTGCAAGTGATCTTTGGGCTGGAGAATGTGATTGTTTGTTTGTCCACGGCAGTTACTAAGGTCAATTAGTTGTGAAAATTTCAAATTTTTAGCACTTTGGGTAAACAAAATAGTAGAATGGGATTTAATTCTTGATATGGGGAAAGACGTTCGTAACCAGCCTGATACACAGTCGGCAAAGGTAAGACAGAAAGTCATGTGAGTTCAGTGTGGTAACCAAATTAGAATGTGTCATGATTTATCCTGCGAAGATGCATTATATACGATGTTACAGTGCATACCTTCAAAAGTGATTACGTCTACCGTGTAATTAGGTTAGCCGTATACGGAACCTTGTAAATATGATCTGATAATCTGAAGTAATGCAGACTAACTGACTAATTCAAAGCTGCTTGGATCTGGTCAGTCTGCGTCTTTTTTTCGACGTGTGTGTAATGTTCACCAAAATATCTTCTGTGTCTGACCATTTGACTTGTTTCGGTTGTGCTGACACAGAGATAACTTTTTCCAGGTCTTTGACGTCAGCTAGCGAAGAACTATTTTTTTGACGTTGCCAAAACTTATTTTCTTACAGGAAACTATCCACAAGATTGCTGAAATCTCTTCGACAGCCCACAGCCCTTCTTGGGGCTCATCAGGTGGGCGCAATCCCCGAGTTTCCGTCAACCTGTTTTCGAGAACTACACTCATCTGCAAGTCAATTTGGTTTTCACTAGAGGCTCAATTGAATCTCTCGTTTATGATATTCTACAACTGAATGTGCTGCACACATCATGATTCAGTTGACACGATATTCGACATACCATACTGTTTTCATAAAGGAAACTACTCACAAGGTTGCCGAAAACTTAGCTTCCTTAACTATAAGACAGGCCACAATGTACAAATATATGGTCATTGTTGACTTGAGGCTGAAGTTCAGAACCCCCATCCCCAAACTCATACAACTAAAGGAAAAACTGTCGCTGTGGCTCATCCTTCTATGCTTTTCCACATGTCGTATCTTTCGACACGTGACCTATCCTGAGACAGATTGACCATCTAAGCAATTTTTCCAGATCAGTATCGTACAGAACTGCTTCCTTTGTATTAGTTCAAGAATCCCCGTTTGCCTCGGGAGAATTTTCAGTTGCCCAAGATGTGATTGAAAATTAAAATAGTGCTTCAGACCACAGACTGTACTGATTGAAGGGACAAGAACCTACCGGTGAAATGAAGAAGGCCTTCGCTGCGAACTTATTAGAAAATACCAACTGACCAGTTATAAACTATTGGACAGGGTTGCAAAACTCTCATTTGCATCTTATTTACAAAAACTGAACATCCATCTCCTGTTCTTCTTGAACTTTCCTAGATATTCATTGATTCAAATCATTCATTGCTCAAATCCAAGCAAATGCTACCAAAGCAACTCCACACATTCCGCAACAGATCTCCCTTTTCAAGAGACGCAAGGCGAATTTACAAGAAGAAAACATACTACTGGCATGCCTCCCCATCAGTAGTATCAACGTTACACCGGTACAAAGAGATGCGTTTTCTTTTTAAATGGAGTTCTGTTTGAATTTCTCTTGTCCTTTTAATGCCCTGTCTGTCAACCAAAACCTTTACCACAGTTGGGGCGAGACGATCCAAGTGGTTCGAGCGCCAATTTACATACTGGAGGGTCTGTGCTTCAAGTCCGACCTCTGCCTCTCGAATTCCCTGTCTAGGCTTGGGCGACCTGGCAGTATCTCAGCCCTCGTGCAGCCATTGTGTGTCATGGCAGCTAGATACGCGAACTTTTTATTGTGTGGTACGAATACATATCAGAAGAAAAGGAACAGACCACAGATCCCGACAAACCTAATAATATCTTTGCCACAAAAGGTTATAATGCCATGTGTCTGGATGCAAACACAGCACGACAGAGCTCAAGTACTTAACCAATTATACTGTTTACCTTGAGCTGAGAAAAATCCACACGCGCAAAGCCAGCAGACGGAACAGGATGCTCCAACTAATATCAAGCTACTTGTCTTCAGAAAACTCCGTTCCGTTTTGTCAGTTCTTCAATCCCTGATTGCTGATGGATAGAGAACTGCCGGAACAAATTCATAACCGGAAGTGGTCAGCCTAGTGATTCACCAAATTTTTTTGTTTCATTGTGCAGTAACGGTATTTTTCTCAGCTTAGTGCTCGGTGTGAGCCTCACAAGCTTGCGCTCACGTCAAAACAACCACCAAAGCTGAACAAGGTATATTAACGCCCAAAACAGAGTCAAGAACAGTTGTACAGCGCTTCATATATATAGCGCAGGCAGCAATAACTTTCTGGAAATTCTGACGCGTTCTGGATGCGCCATTGTCAACCGGCATTTGGCCAATCCTGGGTCATGATTGGCTGTTGGGTCAAGACTTTCAACCAATCAGATCTCGTCTTGATGCCGGACCGGCAAGCGTCCCGAATTAGTGACCAATCTTGCGTGGGATGGACTTCGCGGCCGTGGCAGCACCTGAGTGCGAGCGGTAGACAGAAATACGTGAGGAATTCCGCCTAAGACGTTGAAAGCGACTATTGCTTAACATTGTAGAAACCTCACTGAGCTCACCCAACGATGTGCAGCAGTGTTTGTAAAAGATTCAGCTTCATCATGTAACTCCGAATGATTTATCTGCCAGAAAAAATTATTTCCGGGTTGGCTTCCTGGACTTTGGCAGTGCCTTCGATTCACTGCTACTCGAACTTTTCGAGACGGGCATCTAATGACTCCTTCTGTATCGCCTACACAACTGCTTTACCTACCGAAACCTCCAAAAAACTTTTGCCGATGAGTCATTTTTTACCGCATCTGCTGTGTTCTACGCAGCCAGAAGACACTCGGCTTGGCAATGCATGTCCTACAGTACACGATGCTTACGGCTTTGAGCAAGACATCAAAGCTGATACAAGCTGCGGTTCTAAAACTTAACCCTTCCGAATTCAGTGAAATTGTATCTACACTGAAACAGAGTGAGCACCCTGAAGCCGACTTACCTATTGTGGCCAGAAAATTCAAGCTAACTGTGCAGAATATCTTGGTTTATGACTTCATTAAAGCTGACATGACATAAACGCCTTGAAAATATCTTCCGCAAAACTTGAGCGTTGGCTTGTTCGTTTCCTTCATACTGTCAATCGGCTTACCCGAAAGTTTACACTTACTACGGCCTGAATAGTTATTTTGTCTTGTTCACCCGTTATTCTAAGCAAACTGCTGGGAAAGGAATATAGTGGCAGCAAATAATGGATCAGCCTCCGGTAATGTCCTTGATAGTTTTGTGGAAGACTACGAATGCGTTTACAAAGCATGACGCAGCACTTGATGAGGTTCCTAACTCGCTGCATTCAGCTAGGATCAACTGCCCATTGGGCGACAGCGGTTGGAATCTGAACGCAAGTGAATTACTACATAAAATATCAGTGATCTCTTTACTAGTACACCTAATGACCTCAGAAGCGAACTCTGGAGAAAACAGACTCGCGCGTTTTGTTTTCCATTGTAAAGCTTCTTAGCCGCGCTCCCCTTCCTCTTGTTTTGCTTTGGATAACAAGTTGCTTCCGGTATCCCGGTCACTCGAAAATCCGCTGGCAACAACAAAAGAACAGCAGTCTTTGTTTTGTTCACAGCCGCACCTTTGCAGCACTGAGTCACTGTAAGTTTTCGTCTCACCAGTGATCTCACACAGATAACAGAAATGTGTTGAAGGGGAACGATATTCTGGTCAAATTGTTAGAGGTCACCTTTTGGGGGTTTTGCGGGATGGCTATTTCGTTCACAGTCACTCCACTCTCATCTGAACGGTCGTTCTCCTGTTCTGGCGTAACTATACCGGTGAGCCCACACCAAAGGGAAGCAGCCTTGCACTCGAGTTTCGCTCTTACTAGAGCTTATCAGCAGTGCATATCCAATGGGCGTGCAGGGATAGAAATTTATGGCACAAATCTGATCTGAGCAGTACTGACTTCAAAGAGCCCCAGAAGAGATTGCATACCAGAGTTTGACGGAAACCAAAGTTTGTTCTATTCCAGGATCCAGCTGTTCCATTAAACTAGCCTATGCAGGAAAAACGTTTGCCTAAAAAATTCCAAAATCATACCAACAAACGGTAATTAGCTCGGTTATTTGGCGCATCGATTGCAGCTTCCGTCTGAGAACTCGTCACACAAGGATCCAGTCAACATGTGCCCACGTGATGTGATTCCCATGATTACCGGATGAGTAACACTTTACCCTGCCCAAGTATGTGTTACTCACACTGATGATGAGCCACTCCCGACTGAAAGGCGTCGTCCAACACTATTGGCCCGAAAGTCACGGTTCCGATTCTCCATGGAAATTAGTGAAATGCACAATTCCCATGATTCCCAGTATGGGTCGAAGTACTGTACAGTGCTTCTCAGCTCTTCAGCCCGAGATTAGTTCCATTTGTGCGACAGAACCTCGATGCAGCCACTAATTTGCAAAAAAAACTGTGATTCAACCATACCTGACGTTTTTTTCTGAAACTGGTTACTTAGTTTCATGAGGGGAACATATCTAATGGTTTTCTGGCTACTTCAAAGCTCATGTTGACAATCTTTCTGAGAGCTTCCAATAGGTTAAACTAGCCAGTTGTCCTATCACTCGGTTGTTACTGAATATAACTTAGCAGAAGAGACACAACTTTCTAGTTGGAATTCAAGGAGTACTTGATAAATTCGTGCTCTGGAGAGGTCCGCAAATCCGGTACTCGTGAGTTTTCTTGCGCGGCGCTACAACTTCCATCAACCTTCCGTATTCTTTCTTCATCTTTGATTTTAAAACAGCACCTACACAGGTTAGGAGAGCAAGCCCCCGGTAGCCATGTCGAAGGCAACTATGTTTGTTTCGAACTTTGGTAGTCGGGTTGGAACTCCATGATTCTATCCACCCCTACCTCCGGACCGAACTCATTTCTGATTTGAACTGACCAACAATCAACAAACCACAAATATGTTAGTAGTTCGTTCTATCCTTTTCAAATCGCCTTCTCATAAAAGTGACTACTCCATGAAAGTTGTTTGAGTGATCTCTTCCTCTTCCAAACTAGTCTCTAGTGTCCCGAAAACTGGGTAAACGCAGTAGTTCATCTGCCCTAAAAAGCTTACACTTCTGTGTCGCTCTGACCAACAGATTCCTGACTATTGGGTCTTGAATTGGTTGTACCAGGATGCGAAAATTTAGCTGATGCATCCACGAATTTCACGTTCAGTCTTGGCTGAAGACTGAAGGCCGACAACTTCTCGTGATGCTCAGGCCTTAGTTTTGCGGAATTTCTGCGTGTTGCGCTACCCGGAATTCAGCCCATCACGGCTCAAAGACTTGAGGAAGGAAAGTCAAAGGTGAACAGCTGATGACGGGCAGCATGATATTCCAGTGTTAAAGTTCTATCCTTTCCAACAGGATTGTGAAGTGCAGGCAGTAAGTTACTTACCACAGACAACCAGCATTCCCAAGATTATGAAAGCAACCAGACTGCCTTTCTCCGTGGAAGAATCGGTAGGAAAGGGTTGACCCGATCGCCTGGTAACTCATCGTGGCCCTCGACACATGATTCAATAGGGTGGAGGTGCCGGTGCAAGCCAAGATGCCGGTGCTGTTCAAGGATTAATTACAGCATGCAATAAGAGCCAGGCTTCTATGCCATACTCACTAAGCTATTGAAATAAGCAAGCACTGGTCTATCTGGTGAGTCAGATATTTGAGTTACGGACTCGGGAGAGAGGGTCCAGGGGAAACTTCAACGTCCGCTGTCTCGTGACGGTACAAGCAAGGGAGAAGTCCCGGTACAAAACCTTCCCGTTTGCTGCTACCTTGTGAGTTAGACGTTTAAGTCAGCGGCTCAGATGGTGACCTCAGCAACTGCGAAGCTATGCTCGCCTGCGCCAGTACTCTTTTCCAACCACCAGATTCAAATTGAATTACTGCCTTTGATAAAGTGCTCCATTTCCCAGCTCGATCGTTCCAGTGAAAGTTATTGGTCCTCAGCCCAAACAAACCATTCTCCCTGGCCGCTTTCAAAGTTCAAACTCAATGTCACGCGCTCTCCTCATTGAATGTTGTCTTGTCTGCGAAACACATACAAGGCTGGACTACCGCATTGCGTCTCAACACCCGGTGAACCAACTACGCTTTCCTGACCTTCACTCTCCAATTTTCAGCAAGTCCAGTTTTAGCACTGGGTTCACAATGGTTGGACAACCTCGTTAAACATAACAGCTCAAAAAGTTCAGTTCGGTTGGATTTCTGTGAAGTGTCCACTTCCCGCAGTTGAACTAACCGAGTGCATCAGACCGAGCAACCGGCAGCCAAATACCAGCCAAGTAGGGAGAGAGCCCTAAAGCCAGCGTCATGCCCAACCCATCATTATCAGGTCAAGCAAGGAAAAATGACTAGATGAGACCCAGACTGTGCGCAAAGGGTGATTTCAATGGCCTGCATTGTCCAAAAAATTTATCACAGGTACACAAATAGGGTTCGCTATCTTGGTCCGTAAAATGATGGTCACAGAGAATCAGCTCAGGCATCGTTGTAGACGCAATACCTTTGAATAACCGCGAGTGATTTGTAGACGAATGCACAAAGTTCATAAGAAACTAATACAATAAAGCAGAACTCAAGACCTTACAGTACAATATACACTTACAGATACAAAAGAGGAAGGAAGTATTGAAGACTAACAGACAACCCTCCAACACAAGATAGATCATTGGCGGGCCACTTGAGTCTCTTATACGCTCAGATGGTGGTATTCCCCCGGACGACAGCGAGTGCTGTCTAACATCTACATATGGCTCAATCTGCTACAGTAACCAGACGGTCAAAGGTGAGTAGCGCTGACACCTTTCCAGGCTTCTCCAGATGGTGAAGTGCGGAGATTCTCGGATCCGCGCGGGTGACACGAATGATCTGACAAATTTGGCCTTCGTTGCCCCTTAGTGTACATGCCTCCAGGAGACGGTGTGCGGACCGGTCCATATCGATCGAATTTGTTTACGTGTGGGCGATATGGTCAGGCATTGAGCGGACTCATAATCTATAACCGATAAGAAAACAGGTGAGATATAAACAACCAATGAGGTGCAAGACAGCCATGTTGGACGTCAAGTCTCTACCTTTCCCGGATGTTATTGCGTGCCTCCATCCTGAGGTGAACGGTCAGCATTTTGAACGCGTTGCGAACGGTGAGAAGTGATTTGTCCGATTCAGGAGAGATCATTGGCTTGGGGGTGATGTTTATAGCACTTCTGTCCGTCTAATCGTGCTTCTTGGTTGTGTTGAAGTT